CATACCCACCCTCAGGCAAGATGAAGTTAAAGCAGCATGTGAAAACCTTCCTAAATTGGGAAAGACTTGCGGGGAAGTTCCCTGGCAGGAAACTTGGAGCAAATTGTTCCTGCCACACAAAACCAATGAAAGGTCTGTTGACTCGTTGCTTCCAAAAACCTGAATGAGTACTGGGGGGAAAAAACTACAGTGTGTTGTAGTTTGTAGCTCAAATCCTTGAAATCAATCGCAATATTAGCAACTGGCTAATAAAACTACCATTGCTTTGCTTTGTTTCAGGGAAACCTTGTGGATTTTCTGAAGCTAACAGGATGGCGAGGATCCAAGGTGTTCTATTTTGGAGATCATCTCTACAGTGACTTGGCAGTGAGTGATCGTCACGCTTCTGTTTTGTTCACATTTGTTGCGCAAACGTCTCTTCCTTTTGTTTTTACTTCTTCAGAAACAGTGGAAGTAAATCTCACTCTATCGTTTTCATAATCACCGGTTTCCAGAGTCAAACACTAACAATGATTGTAAAAAGGTTCTTGAAGTGGACTATAGTCTAAACATCCTGTGTCCTGGCATTTTAGGACCTGATGCTGCGTCATGGGTGGAGGACAGGCGCGATCGTGCCTGAACTTGAGGTGGAGACGAAGGTGGTGAACACAGACCAGTACGCTCAAAGTCTCACGTGGTTGCAGGCGCTCACCGGACTGCTGGAGCGCATGCAGGTACACATTGTGGTTCTGAACTCCACCAACACTCTTCCTGTTTAGAATAGAAAAGTATTTATCCTGATAAATGTCTACTTTTTATTAAATTTCACATTAAAGTAAAAACAAAAGGCATTTTAATTAATCAAACTTTGTTTTTGAATCGCTGTAAGTGAGTTTCTAGAGAGCAAATAAGAGCAAAATAAACACATCTGCATTACATGTGATTCTGCAGTATATGGATGCATAGGAATGACCTCGTAGGTTTGGCAGAGGTCCATTCGCTTTATATTGATCGGAATTGATTGTTCTGAATGTTCGTTTCCAAAGTTAGATTCTCTATGTAAGAAAAGCTTGGTGTGATCGGTTTTTCTGTTTGTATAATCCAGAATGCATACAACCTCATATTCTGTCAAAGTTTTGGGTGATAATTGTTTTAAATGGTGCTACACTAAAATGTAAGCCTCTCAAAATGCTATAGAATTGTTTGGGTCTTACAATTTTTAATTTAAAGACACTGTTACTATAAAGTCTGTATCCTCTGAAGTGATCCGTTTTTGATGCTCACCAAGGCTGCCTTTGTTTGATATAAAACATTTAAAAAAAACAGATACAGGAAAATGTGATGTTATGAAAAATTACAATTTCAGACTGTTTTCTGTTTGAATATAATTTAAAATGTGATTTATTCCTGTGATTGTAAAGTTGAATTTTCAATTCAATTGTATGCTTTAATATGCTTATTGGCTGCTTAGGAAACATTTCTTATTGTTAATGTTTAAAACGGTTGTGCTGCTTTTTATTTTTGTGAAAACGTGATAGTTTTGTTTTCAGGATTTTTTTTTAAATAAATAGAAAGTTCAAAAGAATATTTGAAATAGAAATCTTTTGTAACATTAAAAGTGTTTTACTGTCACTTTTGATCAATTTGATGCACTCTTGCTAAATGAAAGTATTATTTTCTTACAAAAAAAAAAAATCTTACTGACCGTAAAACTTTTGAACGATAGTGTTTATATTATTATATTATTTATTTTATTTTTTTAATGGCTACTATAAAGGTCTATGATGTCTTTTGTATCATCTTAAGGTAATCTTCCAAAAGTTTTCCCTATTGATTTGAAGAAAATCTCTCTTTAGACAACTGACTTATTTACGTCTTGGTTTTCAGATGCATCGGGATCCTGAGTCCAAGAAGGTTCTGCAGGAGTGGCTGAAAGAGAGAGAGGAGCTACGGTGAGTGAAGCAAGACAAAAAGACAAAAAACTCACTAGATGAACAGATCAAGACCTAAAGTCATTGTAACATGTCTTCCAATTTCCTTTTACAGGGCAGTCACCAAGAACCTCTTCAACCCTCACTTTGGCAGCATATTCCGTACCTGCCACAACCCCACCTATTTTTCCCGCCGCCTGTGCCGTTTCTCAGACCTCTACATGGCCTCTATCAGCTGCCTGCTGAACTACGACCTCTCATACACCTTTTACCCTCGCCGAACGCCCCTGCAGCACGAAGCCCCCCTCTGGATGGACCAGCTCTGCACTGGCTGCATGAAGACACCCTTCTTAGAAGAGATGGCCCATATTCGTTAAAACCGCCAAAGGTTTAATGTGCAAATATGAACTGAATAGTGAAATGAGGGGTGTGTGTTTGTGTCTCTATCTATAGCATTGGAGACGTGGCACTTTTTGCATGAACGCCACATACAATGGGGCCACCTGCTGGATGTTATGTTGCAATGCGTCTCAATGTTCTCAAGCCTTGGACAGCTAAAGACGGGCTTGTTGATGAACTTATCCTTGTGTTCTTATCTCTAACTTTTTTACATTTGATGCTCTTGCATTATGTCTTACTAAACATAGTTAGATGTTAAGTGGTTTACAGTTCTCTCTTTTTTTTTATTTTTATTTTTTTTTTTGGTTTTGTAAACCAGTATGTCATGAGTTTTGTAGTTGCAACAGGGTGATGTTTGTATTAACATTAATCATGATAGCAGGAAGAAGGAAATATACTATACTTGGGGTAGCCAGACATTGGTAGGCCGAAGTATTGAGCCGCTGGCCAAAAAATGCACAATTATGAGTTACAAATACAGTAGGTCTGATTACAAGTGCGATTAGGTCAAATAGCTTCATAGATTGGTGTTTTAATGTTACTTACCTTCCCCACACTACATTAATCATGTAGCCAAGCCTCATAAAAGTTTAAATATGTGCAAGTAATACCAGTCTCCACAGCTTATTATTTAGTAGAGAAATTATAATGTTTTTTAAATGACAGCTGTATTTACATACTTGGAAGCTCCTGGAGGGCCAAACCAAATGCTGTTGTTATTTTTGACCTTGCAAGCCCTCACTGTTTGTGGCTTTAGACTAAGCTTCTGTACAATCAGAGCATTGTTTGCTTACAGTTAAATCTGTGAATAGCTATGCTGCTAAATTCAGTTTTCCAGGAACAAGAAAGATCTCATCTTTTGTATGTACTTAGTCTACAATTTAAAAAATCTAATAAAAGGCTTTGTCTTAATATTCGTCATGTTGGTTTGTTTTAACTTTAAGAAATGAAACACCTAACCCACATCTTTTAAAAGTTGTGAAAAAGTGAATTATTACTACAATAATGATTTTCTGTTGAAATATTGTTTTAGAATGTAATTATAAATAAATACATGTAATTTTTTCATGTGATAGAAAAAAAGCCATTACTACAGTCTTCAGTCTCACATGATTATGGAGATAGAATTGTTGCTTAATTCTAAATAAATAGATTACGATCCATAGCTAAATGTAAAGAGATGAACAAACATTAAACACATTGACAAATAAATGGAATGAGATCCACAAATAAATCAAAGTTTCACAAACATTAATTAAATTCATAAATAAAATGAGATTTGCAAATAAAAAAAACATTCACAACTACATATTTATGTCACAACCACAACTTTGCCTGGCATTTATTTGTGAATCGCGTCCCGTGCATTCTATCTCCATACATGATCTTTCAGAAATTATTCTAAAAGATGTAATATTGTCAATGTTACAAACAGCTTATTATTTTTTAGGAAACCTTGATGCACTGCCATTCCGGAGTTTGGGAATTTTAAAGAAATTGATACTTTTATTCAGCAAAGGTAGAAATTGATCAGAAATTATAGTAAAAAGACGCTGTATAATGTTACAAAAGATTTCTATTTTAAACGCTTTTCTTTCATCAAAGAATCCTAAAAAAAAAAGTATCAGTATATTCACAAAATCATCGGCGAGCTGCCGAGTAGCTCTCTGAGATATAAAGAAGCTGAAATTATATGGTCTAAAACTGCCGCTTGTGCGCAGCTGCTGAGTAGCTCGCCGTGATCGTATAGTGGTTAGTACTCTGCGTTGTGGCCGCAGCAACCCCGGTTCGAATCCGGGTCACGGCAAAAGCGAGTTCTTTTGTCAAGTCAAGTCACCTTTATTTATATAGCGCTTTTAACAATACAGATTGCGTCAAAACAACTGAACAGCATTAATTAGGAAAATAGTGTGTCAATAATGCAAAATGACAATAGTAAACTCTCATTTTTCAGTTAAAGACAGTTCATCATTGAATTCAGTGATGTCAACATCCAGCTCAGTTTAAATAATATCTTTGCAATCAAGTCAACGATATCGCTGGAAATGAAGTGTCCCCAACTAAGCAAGCCAGAGGCGACAGCGGCAAGGAACCAAAACTCCATCGGTAACAGAATGGGAGCGAGAGCAAGCGCAAATCCTGGCATTGTTTTTCAGTCATTTCTCAGGTGTACAGACTGCTTTAATGAATAAGAAAAGCAGTGTATCCGCTTTTTGAAAGCCATGTAAGTATTATTTCAGATCTAGGCCTAAGAGATCCGCCATAAATGATTAAATGGCACTTAACATGTTGGCCCATTTTTAAACGGAGCGGTTTTGCACCTCTGTTTCTTTAAAGGGGTCCTATTATGCTTTTTCACTTTTTCACATTTGGTAAGTCTGTAATGTTGCTGTTTGAGCATAAAAAAGATCTGCAAAGTTCAAAGTCCACTTCAAAAGGAGATATTTTATTTAACAGAAATCACAAAGGGATTTGTGATATCACAAATATCGACTAATGGGATGAGACCTGGTTGAGCTGCACTAGAGAAGGAAAGAGTTATGAGAAGGGTATAACTGCAGCCCGGAGATCTCCAAATGGGGGTGGGAGCTCCAAAACAAGGCGTGGCTTCATTTTTCCCCCCAATCCACTTCAGTGCAAACTCTGCCCCACAGCTGATTCTAAAGATTTTATTGGTTGGGTCAATTAAAGTGTTGATTTCCTACATTATGCTACAAAAAATGCTAAACTCTAAACCTACCCTACACCTGACCCTAACCTTAACCAGCGAAATTGACTGACTGCACGGCGGAATTGGCGCTGAATAGCGTGGAAAAGAAAGATGCAGTTCAGGAGATGAACAGTTGATAAGATTATGTGATATGAGATCGTTCTGTAACTCCCCAACCGGACAATGGCAACTTTTTAGTTACACCCAGCGTCGCTACCCACTCCTACCCTACGAATTTCGAGCCCCGGGATGCCCCCGTTGCTTAGAACAAAGCGATAGAGTGAAATCTTTCCCCATGCGCTGCAGTAGCCCCTCACTGCAGAACAATGATCCAGGGGGTTGGATCCTCATCTAGGGGGTGGAGATGGTAGGTTTAGGGGTGGAGATGGGTGGGTTTAGGAATCAGGGGGTGGAGACGGGTAGGTTTAGGTATATGTAAGGTGGGAGGAGTTGGATCTGGATCCAACCTCACCCCCTGGATCTTGTGTTCTGCAGTGAGGAGTGAGGACCATCTCCTGCGCTGGGACGGCTCGCGGGAGAGCTCGTGGGTAATTCCTGTTTATATCATTAAGCATTAAACTCCAGTCCGAACACCACTGGCCACAAGCTTTGGGCTCTGCTCTCACAGAGAATATTTGCTTATATAGCATATTTTATTTTAGAACTAGAAACAATGTTAAATTTATAAAGTTTTATAACAATTGGCTGGAACCAGAGCCAATGGTGAAAGTCTTTGTGTGAGGAGACACTGCCCCATTTTGGAGGTTCTGCCCACTTTTGGAGTTCACGCCCCATTTTGGAGATCTCCGGTCTGCAGTTATATCTACTTGGGTGTTATCACTATGTCGGAGACACGCTGGCTTTCCCAAGGCAGACGAACTTAGAGTAGTTACAATCATCCGGGTTTAAATCGTGCTAAAATGTATTTGATTTTGACGCAATATTTACACTGAAGCGCGCAGGTGGCTATGGTAAGGGGCATGACATTTCCCAACCAGGCGCCGAGTGCTGCCAATCACAACACACACTGGCCCAGCTATCCAATCACAGCACATATTTCAGAAGGGCGGGCCTTCATTTGATACAAGAACTATTCGAGCCGTTCAGGCCAGACTGTTTTTTTTAAACAACCTAGTATGAGATCCTGTTCTAGTACACCCCCAAAACAAAATCAAGACTTTGTAAAAGAGCATAATAGGACCCCTTTAAGTCTCTGGCCAAAAAACTTTGGTTACTGAATTTTAGTTTAATCACAGTGAACTTTTGATTAATCAGTAAACTACACTGCCATGACACACATTTTTCAGTCAACTCTGTCACAAAGCTAGTAAATAAATCATGTCATTTTTAGATAATTTTCAGAAAAGTGACCAACAAAATGTTATTTGATGTATATGAAATGTAAAATATTGTTTAAGTCAGCATTTTCAAGATTTTCTGTGTCTGACTGTGTGAATAGTTGAAAATATAGAGCTGCAAAAATCAGTTTGAAACCACCCTGTATCTAAATTCATTAGTTCATGGAAGTGAATACTAGATTTGTCATGATTTATGCCACATAGCTTCTGTTTCTCACAGTGATGATCCCTAATGAAACAGTGTTATTATTAACTAAAACGATTCATTTTAATTAACTAAAACAAAGCTAAAGTTACACAAAATGTAATTATTAGATGAAAACAACTTTAATGTTAAAGTTTAACTGAAATAAGATTAAATACTAAAATTACTAAAACTGAAATAAACGTAAATTAAGGCTTAAAAACTAATAAAATTGACAAACATACAAAAAAAATTAATATATAAAAATTTTAAGAATTCAAAATATTAATATATGCTATGATGGTAAATAATAAATACTGAAATAACAAGTAAACCACATTGTGGCAAGGGAGAAAAAAGCTGGAGACACACCTACACATGAGTGAATATTTCTGAATATTTTGATACTATTTAAATTATTCCTTGAATAAGTTTCATATCTTGTTTTGTCCCAGCACCCAAGAACCAGTAACAAATGGCAAACGTAGTCACCAAGTTTTGAACAATAAATGAAATAAAGGTTCAGTGTGAACCTTGACAGATGTGTGCTGCAGTGTGGTCTGCTTGGGACAGATGACCTTGTAGTGCTGTGTTTTGCAGGTGTTTTAGCATGTGTTGGTAAAGTTCAAAGTAATCTTTACAGCCAGAGTCTGATTCCCATGCTTGGTTGCAACATCAACAGAGACTCAACAGGCTGTAAATCCTCCTGAATAAATGTCACCTGATTAGGTAATTTGCATTTCAGAGGATGGAGTGATTAGCCTTTCAGAATAATTAACAAAGTAGGGTTATGTCAAATAGGCATTTTTACCAGTTTTCTTTATTTTTCTAAAATTGTTCCTTTAAAATCTGTCTGTTTGCAGAAGTGTGAAGGGGTGTTGCCGGTGGAGTTCCGCTCCTTTGCTGTTGATCCTCAAATAACCTCACTGGAGGTGTTGCAGCATATCTTGATACGAGCATTTGAGCTGAATGGGTGAGTGTGAAATTGTGAAATATATTTGTCTTGTGACAATTCTCATTTAGATCTATTGTTACAATATACAGTTGTAACCCTATTTTTATGATTGTTTAATAGCAATGATAGGTAAATGAACTGCAGCAAACATAGATGCAGTCTTTATTTCCTTGTTTCTCTGTAGGAAACGCAACTTTGGGATAAGTTACCTGTCCCATGACCACGGAGGTGTGGAGGTCTACGTGTCTCTGCTGTCTGACTGGGATTTAGATGCAGCGTTTGTCAGTGCAGCAAAGCCTTTCCTCCAACTCAAGATGGACATTAAACCATCAGAGGACAGTGAGTGAACTCCATATCCTTCTATTTGGAGGGTATTAAATGTATGTCAAACTCAGTAGATCCTTAAAATCTTTGAATGCTCTGTCTCCTTTATGATTTCTACAATTTATTTCCCATTCATTCACTACCCACAAATCAATAATCGATCAATCAATAAATAAAAAAACTTTGTTTTGGGGTAGTTGCTGTTTAGTTCAAATGATTGTGTATTTTCCTGGGAATATGTACATTTTTCCACTATGTTTGTTGTTTTGTAGAGTCTACATAGTGTCTTTATTGGGTAGAATAATTCTTTTACAAACATTATGCATTTACCTGTAAATAATCTCTTTAATGATTTCCCCCATGTTCTTCCTAAGGTCCTGT